AAAGTCGCTCTCTCCATTCAGGGGTGTCCTCAAAGACTCTTAATTGTGCTGAAGAAGCTGATTTGATGGAAACATTGGTGCTGCTTTGATTTTGGGGGAGGGCACTCCAGGCAGAGCTTGGGAACTGCTCCCGGTTCAGTGCTCAGGGGTGACGTGTGCAGCTGCCTCACTCGGGGCTCCAGCTCAGTCAGCCACCGCCTTGGCCCCAGGGAGCACAAGACTGAGAGTTGTTGGAAGCAGAGGCCTGCAGAATGAGGCCCAGCTGCAGGGCCACAGTGCTCAGTGACCCAGCAGGGAGCGGGAGCTTGGGCGGCCCCCAGGGAGTCAATCCCAGGAGTCCCGACAGACGTGTCCATCTTGACCCTTTTCTGCATCCCGCTTGTGCTCAGGGAGACCAAATGCTGGTCTTGCAGAGCAAAACCATTAGAGGACAGCGGGGCTGGACAGGCGAGGGGACACACTGACCCGTCCCCAACATGCCTCCAGGCACTGCTCACCCTCCTGATGTCAGCTCTGCACCGCGTGCTGTTCCGAGCAGAGAATGAATCCTGCATTTTGGCACTCGTACCAAAACAATTGTTAATAACACCTTTCTTTCTTTCTTTCTTTCTTTCTTTCTTTCTTTCTTTCTTTCTTTCCTTCCTTCCTTCCTTCCTTCCTTCCTTCCTTCCTTCCTTTCTTTCTTTCTTTCTTTCTTTCTTTCTTTCTTTCTTTCTTTCTTTCTTTCTTTCTCTTAATGTGAAGTAGGAAGCAGAGGTGTGTGGATCGAGGAATCGATTGGGATGATCCAGCCTTGGGGTGCTGTGAGCCCTGCTTTGAGATGGATTCCAGCACCATCTAGAGGTGAAAAGCAGAGTTACCTGCTTTTCCTGAAAAATGCTCTGGCTGCGAGTACTACTGCGAGTGTGTGTGGGGCAGAGGGTTGGACAGACAGAGAAGGGAGCAGGATGACAATAATAGTTGGAGACAATCACGCTGGACAGAACTGGGTGTTGAAAGTAAGTCAAGGGATATATATATATATATATATATATATATATATATATATATATATATACTGGAGCGATAGCACAGCGGTAGGGCGTTTGCCTTGCATGCAGCCAACATGGCTGACCCGAGTTCGATTCCTCCGCCCCTCTCGGAGAGCCCGGCAAGCTACCGAGAGTATTCGATATGCCAGACACAGTAACAACAAAGTCTCCAATGGAGACGTTACTGGGCCCGCTTGAGCAAATCGATGATCAATGGGAGGGCCTTTTTATATATATATTTGATGACCTTTCAATATCTGTCTTGCAAACCACAGTGCCCAAAAGGAGAGACACAGAGACAGAGAACCAAGAGACAGAGACAGATACAGAGACAGAGAGAGACAGAGAGAGACAGAAAGAGACAGAGAGAGAGGTGCCTGCCATAGATGCAGGCTGGAGTTGGGGGTGGTAACTGGGGACATCGGTGCTGGGAAATGTGCCCTGGTGGAGGGACGGATATCAGAACTCTGTGTGACAGATATGCAATCATGATTAGCTTTGTAAGGGCCTATCTCACAGGGATTCAATAACAAAGTTTTTTAAGGGCTCTGGCCCTGGTGTGCGGGTGAACCCTTCCTAGTGATCCCCCTCCTTGGATGTCTGGCCTTGAGGAAAACCCACATGTTTGGGACAAATAGCACTATCATTGTTTTTTTTGTTTGTTTGTTTTTCTGTCACACCTGGTGGTGCTCAGGAGTTACTCCTGGCTCTGTGCTCAGGGATCACTCCTGGAGTGACTCTGGGCTGCCAGAGACCAAACCAAGTTCTGACGGGCAAGGCCTGAGCATTCCCCGTGACACTCTCTCCCTGCCCCCGGTGCTTAGTTAAATCACAGGGAGGGGTTTTGTTTATTTATTTATTTTTCACTTTTAAAATTTATTTTAAGATGTGGTTTACAATACTGTTAGTTTTATACTGTTGATTTTAGGGCTTCACCGTGACACATTACCACACCCTCTACTACCAGAGAGTCCACTTCCACAATTGTCCCCCCGGCCACCACCTCCCCTCCCCCCCTCCTGCTCTCCCCCGCCCCCCCCCCCCTCCTGTGGTAGGCTTTGTACGAAAGACCAGCTCTCAGTTCTGTTTCCTTTGAGTATTTATTTTGTACTTTTAATTTTTCTTTTTCTGGTGCTTGTCTTTCTACCACCTAGGAAGGACTTTTTTTTTTTAAGATGGCAATACTTTTTAAAATAATTTTTTAATTTTATAAAGGAGTTCACAATACTTCATTCTATGTTATATTCAAACACTAATCCCACCACCATGACACCGTCCCACAACCATATTTCAAGCGTTTCCATCCCAAACCCCACTCCCTGCCCCAAAGTAGAACCGAAATAGTATATTTTGTATTGTTTGTTATGAAAAACTGCTGGAAATGCTACAAAAAAGTATCCTTAGAGGGAAGAGGGTTTTGTTTTAAGGAGTCCGACTAGTCTGCACCTAGCAGCCTTGCTTCAGATGCAGGAGGCAGAGAGCAGGCAAGATGCCCCGTGGTTGGCCCGTTGGCCAGGCAGGTGCCACCCCGTTGCCCAGCAGCAGAGAGCACCCCCCCACCCACCCCTGGAATGTTTGTCATCTCCCTGGCAACAGCAACAGTGGCAGCAGCAGCCTCTGGAGCCGTGGAGGGCGGGAAGCAGACATGGCCCAGGACTCGGAGCCCGAATGTGAGTAGACATGTGGCGGGGTCCTGTGAGACCAGGGGCGTGGCCAAGGGCAGGGCCAGCTCAGCTCAGGGAAGAGGCAGTGTGTGTGTGTGTGTTTGCGCGAGTGTGTGCGTGTGTGTGCTTGTGTGCGTGTGTGTGCATGTGTGTCTGCATCTGTGTGTGTGCGAGTGTGTGTGTGTGTGCGTGTGTGCGCTTGCTCTGCACGTGGTGGACCCAGATTTGATCCCCAGCACGCTGTATGGTCAGGAGTGAGCCCTGAGCACAGAGTCAGACCCAAGTGCCACCGGGTGTCGCCCCCAAACCAATAAATCAATAAAAATGTTAAGCCAATCATGTATAAGGGCGAGAAACACATACAGAGTGTCTCACCACATTCTTTGTGCTTTTCCATACTCCCACATTGCCTGAGAAGCTTCTCACGGGCCAGCAGGACAGACGGGTGAGGTGCCTGCCCTGCACGTGGCCGACCCTCGCTCCAGCCCTGGCACTGCTACGGTCTCCAGGCAGCTGCTGGCAGAGAGCCCTGAGCCAGAGGCAGGTTCACGCTCCGAACAGACGGCGTGGCCCAGCCTGCCCCAAAACTTGGCATCTAGTTGCACTCGACTTTTTGTAGAAAAAACAGCCCCAACACTGCGACGATCGTGTGATAAATGCAGTGTGTCTGTGCACGCGGGGCAGGGAAGGTCAGCTCGCGGAGGGCTTCCTGGGGGACATTGTGCCCTTCAGGGTGACGCCCTGCCCCCCGCCCAGTACTGATGTCCAGAGCATCGTCGGGCTCAGACAGCAGGTGCCACTTTCCTTCCAGAACCATAGTCTCTGGGGGCTCCAACCCACCTTTCCTCCCCCTGGGGGGTGGTCCTGGGCTTTCTAACTAGAACCACCTCTGAGATGTCTGTTTCTGTGCACAAGTGCCCGTGGGTGCCACCCCTACTTCTGGTTTACAGCCAGGGTGACTGCATCCATGTGTGCGATGTCTGTGTGCCCCCGTCCACTCCATGTTCTGTCTGAGTCCATGTGCCTACGTCTGCGCCATGGCCTGCTCCCTTCTCTGCCCACATCCATGTCTGTGGGCCCATGGCCAGGTCCCTGCTGTGTCTGTGTCTGTGTGTGTCCATGACTATGTCTGTGTGTGTCTGTGTGTATCTGTGTCTGTGTGTGTCTGTGTCTGCTTGTGCCCATGTCTATGTCTGTGTGTCCATGCCCACATCTGTGTGTGTTCAGCTCTGCGTCTGTGTATTCATGTCCACATCTGTGTGTCCAGCTCTGCGTCTGTGTGTTCATGTCCACGTCCATGTGTGTCCAGCTCTGCGTCTGTGTGTTCATGTTCACATCTGTGTGTCCAGCTCTGCGTCTGTGTGTTCATGTCCACATCTGTGTGTGTCCAGCTCTGCGTCTGTGTGCTCATGTCCACGTCCATGTGTGTCCAGCTCTGCGTCTGTGTGTTCATGTTCACATCTGTGTGTGTCCAGCTCTGCGTCTGTGTGTTCATGTCCACATCTGTGTGTGTCCAGCTCTGCGTCTGTGTGCTCATGTCCACGTCCATGTGTGTCCAGCTCTGCGTCTGTGTGTCCATGTCCACGTCTGTGTGTGTCCAGCTCTTTGTCTGTCTGTGTGTCCATGCCCACGTCCGTGTGTGTCCATCTCTGCGTCTGTGTCCATGTCCATGATCATATGTGTCCAACTCTGCGTCTGTGTGCTCATGTCCACGTCCATGTGTGTCCAGCTCTGCATCTGTGTGTCCATGTGCACGTCTGTGTGTGTCCAGCTCTGTGTCTGTGTGTTCATGTCCACATCTTTGTGTGTCCAGCTCTGCGTCTGTGTGTCCATGTCCACGTCTTTGTGTGTCCAGCTCTGCGTCTGTGTGTCCATGTCCATGTCCGTGTGTGTCCAACTCTGCATCTGTGTGCTCATGTCCACGTCCATGTGTGTCCAGCTCTGCGTCTGTGTGTCCATGTCCACGTCTGTGTGTGTCCAGCTCTGCGTCTGTGTGTCCATGTCCACGTCTGTGTGTGTCCAGCTCTTTGTCTGTCTGTGTGTCCATGCCCACATCCGTGTGTGTCCAGCTCTGCATCTGCGTGCTCATGTCCTCGTCGATATCTGATCCGTGTCTGTGCTTGTACGTCCGTGTCCAATCTGTGTCCGATTCTGTGTGTCCCTGTGTGAGTCCACGATCGTGACCGTCTGAGTCCAAACCCGTGTCCAACCCTGAGTGTCCGTTGCCGGGAGCAGGGCCCGCGAGCTCAGCCAGCACCGCGGGGACAGGCTCCGTGACCTCAGCGCCGTCCCCCTCTGCTGCCAGTTTACCTCCGATGGAGACACTGCGAGACCCCGGGCGTGGAGACGCTCTGCAACCTCAGGAAGCTCCTGAACAGGCTCCAGCGGGCACACCGGGAGCACGTCCTGCTGTACACGTCCGGGCACCTGAACCACCACAACCTCTACCAGCCTCCGCGGCAGGAAGGCTTCCGCTGGGCCAACTCCCGGCTGCCCCCGTTGGCCAGGGGCGCCGAGGGGCGGCCGCCGCCCGAGAAGGTGGCCCAGATGGCGGACGCGCTGGTGCACTTCACCCTCCACACGGCCCTGACGCCCGACGATGCCGAGGGCTCCCGGCTGTTCCGGTTCCTGAACCTGGCGCCGCCAGACGTGCCGCACCCCTCGGAGGAGGACCTGCTCCTGGAGTGCCGGCCCGGAGCACTGTCCCCGGAGAGGCCCCGCAAGGAGGAGCTGCGCTGGCCGGAGCTGAAGGTCCTGAAGACCAAGTACTGGAGGAGCAGCCGGAAGTGCGGGCAGAGCCCAGGCCCGGACCGGTACCAGTACGTGAGCACCTACCTCGCCGGCATCACCAAGGAGGACCAGTACAGGGAATTCCTACGCTTCCAGAGAGACGTCCTGGCCAAGCAGGACCTGCTGAGCAGTGATTTCACTGGGTCCCAGGCGGCGCTGGCCCTGGAGAGGAAGCTGGAGCGGGTAAGAGGATCGGTGCGGGGTCACCCTGGGTGGGCCGTTCGCCCACTGAGCCTTTCCCTTGCCCTCCCCCATCCCCCCTGCTTCCTTGACCTTCCGGCAGGAGGGACCCACTCCCCAGACAGTCTGGCGAGACCCAGATGGCTCAGGGGGAGCAAGTGTGGAGACCAGCCAGCTGGAGGCCGTTTCCAGTCGGGCAGGGGGGTTCTGCTGGGTCTGTCGGTGGGACTCGGGGAAGGCCCTGGGTGGTTCCTCCAGTTCAGCGCAGGGCCGGGAGGGTGGCCAGGGAGGGTCCTGGTGGGTGGCACTGCCGCCCAACACTCCCAAGTGTCCAAGGAAGGCGGAAGTGCCACGCCCAGAGCAGCGATGACTCAGAAACGGGGACACGGGTCCTCAAGGAGAGGGGGAGACACAAAGGGTCTTCCATGAGGAAACAGCCAAACCTTAGTGGATGAGAGAACAGATGGAGAGGGGAGGGTCTCCCGGGGGTAAGGGGGATCCTTGAGTGCAGGGTGCAAGAATAAAGACTCAGATGGCCTCGGGGACTTGACGGGTCAGGGTCCTCAGACCTGGCTGGAGGCTCTGGGTGTGTTGGTTGCACCCCACTGGGCGGGGGGCCTCACGGAGCCCATTCCTCTGACCCCTTAGCTGGGGAAAGGATTGCTTGTTTGGGCCTGTACCCTGCAGTGGTCAGGGCTCACCGTGGCTTTGGGCTCAGGGATCACTCTTGGTGGTGTTGGCATGAGCAAGGCCCAGCCCATGGCACTATCAATCCAGCTGCGGTAGAAATGATTCGTAAAGGAAAATAGAAAGTTCCGGACACGGCTCTTCATCCTCCTGCAGGAGCTGCAGAAGGTCTGCACGTGCGACGCCCTTGACTTCAACCGAATGCACGTGTGTGGGCAGCTCTTCCAAGACATCTGCGATAGTTCTCTGATATTCGGCGACCTGCTGAAGGAGATTAAGGTGCTGGGAAGCCCGGGGTCTCCCGCGTGGCAGCTGGGGGCTGCGGGTGGGATTCCATAGCCAGGCTAGGCCCCCCTAGAGCCTTGGGTGTCATTCCAAGCCCACAGCTTCCAGTCCGACTTGCCTGTCCCTTGCCTCGGACGCTGCCGTCATCCAGTCCCGCACAGGGGAATTCGCACAAGGCTCAGGGAGACGGGCCGTGTGCTGATTTGGAGGCAAACACAACTTGCGTTTGGAAGCCGAGTGCAATTCAGGATGCCACACGCTTCCCCGCCCCCAGGCTCCAGAGCAGCGGGCCCAGGTGTCTGGAGGGCCTGTTCCGTGTCAGTCCCGAGCTCAGGGGCTGAGACACCACAGCTCATGTCTGTGCAGATGCTTCTGCCCCCTTGCTGGCCCCGTTGCTGCGAGAACAGTGGCACTCACCTGCATAGTCTGCTGGCAACCTCAGACAGGCTCAGAGGGGCCCTGGGCATGCTGCAGTCTGCATGTTGTCTTTGTCCTGCATTGCCAGGGGAGGCTCCTTCTTTTGAGCTGCAGTTCATTCCCCCACTACCTACACAAGACTCTTCTTTCCCCTGCTTTGCTAGGACGAGTACGAGCTCTACATGGCCATTCTCCTGCACACGCAGCCCTCCGCACAGTATCAGGTAAGCTGGCTGTGAGCTCTCGCTTTCCCCAGAGATGCAGAAGGCTCTGTGCTCCAGACTCATGCTGTGTTGGGCGCACCAGAGGCCCAGACTGGCCGCCAGATGGGGAGGAACCCACAACCCACTCTTTGTTGGTACTGTTGCTCTGACCACCAGCTCTCTCTCTCTCTCTCTCTCTCTCTCTCTCTCTCTCTCTCTCTCCTGCCCACATGCGGTTCTGTGCTTAGGAATCACCCCTGGCGGACGCGGTGACAGGGCTCAAGCCAGGGTCGGCTGCGTGCCGGGCCACGCCTCACCTGCTCTGCTGCCTGGTCCCCTTCTGAGGATGCTGTGCTGCCAGGGCCGTCTAGAAGAGAGTGCCTGGCCGTTTGATCTGTTCTGACAGGGCTCAGGGCGCCATATGTGGTGTTGGGGAGTGAAGCCAGGGTGGAAAGATGCCAGGCAAGCTCAGCTATGCCCTCACCCTGGCTCAGTCTCAGGGGGCTCCCGGACATATGCCAGGAGGGAAAAGACCTTCAGACACCCCGTCCCTGACGAGCAGGAAGCCCAGGGACCCCAGAGACCAGCATTGGGCCTCATAGTCCCTCGGCCCAAAGGAGAGGCCACACGTCTGACTGCCCGGGAGGTCTCTGCGTGTGGGAGGCAGCTCTGAGGCCCCGGCCTCCATCCCCCCACAAGTTGCTTTGTCCTGAGCTCCTGGGCTGCAGGAGATGGCTGTCTGATGGACAGTGACGAGCAAAGGGCACAGCCCGGTCTGCCATGGTGCTGTCTGTTCCAGAGTGAGAAATGGGCATTTCTGCCCATGCCTCAACACCAGTGATCTGCAGGCCAAGAGGCATCAGGTCCCTCTCAGAGACCGGCTGCCTGGTGCAGGCCTAGACCATGTTCCCCAGCCTGTGAATAACGCGGCCACATTATTGTACCATTGCACCATGTATTTGTGTACTGTGCCGCATTCTATGGCCCCGGTCCAAGGAAATATGTGCTATTACTGGGCTGGAGCGATAGCACAGGGTAGGGCGTTTGCCTTGCTCACAGCCAGCCCGGCCGAGCCAGGTTCAATTCCTCTCCTCTCTCGGAGAGCCCCAGCAAGCTACCGAGAGTATCTCGCCCGCACGGCAGAGCCTGGCAAGCTCCCCGTGACGTATTCGATATGCCAAACACAGTAACAAGAAGTCTCACGATGGAGATGTTACTGGGCCCGCTCGAGCAAATCGATGAACAACGGGAGGACAGTGTTTGTTTGGACAGTTTGTTTGTTCTATTACTATGTTGCACAAACATATATTCCATATTGCATGTGCATATACACTAGATATTACTCTATTACCCGGCTGAAGCGATAGCACAGCGGGTAGGGCATTTGTCTTGCATGAGTCCAACCCAGGTTTGATTCCTCTGTCCCTCTCGGAGAGCAAGCTACCAAGAGTATCCCGCCTGCACTGCAGGGCCTGGCAAGCTCCCTGTGGCGCATTCGATATGCCAAAAATAGTAACAACAAGTCTCACAATGGAGACGTTACTGGTGCCCGCTCGAGCAAATGGATGAACAATGGGAGGGCGATGCAGTGGTGCAGAACTACTCTATTACTCACATTGTGTGTGTGTGTGTAACTATATTGTGCATGTATACTTTATATTATTTATACACTATATATTACTGTAAATAGTAATTGGGTTTTGATTTCAACTGATTCACAAGAATAATTGCTGTCAAGTAGGACTTCATCCCCCAGAGCTTCTCACTCACGCAGCCCAGCAATAACCCCTGACAGTTTTGCAGCCCCTCAGTTGAATCTGATATTTGGAAGCGGACTCTGCAGGGCTGCTCTCGACTTGCCATTTGTCATCCATGTACCTGCGCGTACCCCCCGCCCCTGCCTCTCCCTGCCTCTCCCTTCCTCACCCCTGCCTCACCCCTGCCTCACCCCTGCCTCACCCCTGCCTCTCCCTGCCTCTCTCCCCTCGCCCCAACTTGTCCAGCCTTGCCACGCCCCTCCCCGCCCCTCCCCGCCCCTCCCCACCTCTCCCTGCGTCTCCCCGCCTCTCCCTGCGTCTCCCCGCCTCTCCCCTTCTCAAACCTGTGCTGGGACCCAGGTGTCTGGAGCACAGCCGAGGCACCTAGAGGAAGTACCTCACCCAACCCGCGCCTGTCCCCTCTGTGTCTGTGTCTTGTCAGGCCCTGCGGGCTCATGTCAGGGCCATGGAGCAGAGGACCCTGAAGACGGAGGAGGTCAGCCAGGCCAAGGAGGAGCTGAAGGCCCTCGTGAAGGTCGTCAAAGCAGCGCTGGAGCATAATGACAAGTGAGGCTGATGGCTGGCTGCAGACTCATTCCCCAGTATCTTGAAGCAAGCGTATCATCTGCCTGGTTTCAGTCCACCTTGATCACTTGATCACTTGACATCCCGTTAGTCAACATTCAGTCGCCCTATTATCCATTTATATTCACTCTCATCGCTCCACCCATATCTTCCCATCCACCTACATTCATCGACAATGTGCGTCCATCTGTCCATCCACCTGTTCTTGTCCATCCATCCATCCATCCATCCATCCATCCATCCAGTGTCTCCTCCCTGGGTTTTGCCCAGCAAAACCCATGGCGGGGACACTCTTATCTGCTGTAGGAAAGAACCAGAACCCGCCACCCAATAGCCGCAGGGAAATCTGGAGAAGAGGCGGGTGGGGGCATCTGCACCCTGAGGACCCTCCCGGCTCACAGTCCAACTCTGAACCCACAGCCCAGAGGAGAGGACAAGTGAGCAGAGTGAAGAGGGAAAAGGCCCTGAGCTCCTCCTCAGCAGGTGAACCAGCAGAGGGACGCGACAGGGTGTCCCGGGACGGCAGGGTCTTGCTCTGTGACCCGATGTGCTAGGGTGCCCTGCTGTGCCTGAGACAGTCCTGCCTTTGCATCGCTGCCTCTGCACTCCCCAGCCAGGGGCCCGTAAACGTCACTTCCCACAGACACCCTGTCAGCAGGACCCCTGGATTTGGTCCCCGACTCTGCTGGGTCCCACATAACAGCTTGAGCCCGCCCTGTCCTAAGCAAGCCCCTTGGATTTTTTGATGGCTTGCACAGGAGTGAGTTCCGCAGCTGAAGGCAGAGGTGTGCAGGCCAAACTTAGGTGACAGATCAAAACCTGCATGATGACTTGCCCCCGAATAAGTTTTTATGACAGTAGGATCCTGACCAGCTTTGCTCAGGGCTTGCTCATGCTCAGGGGTCGTTCCTGGTGGTGCCTGGGGGGTCGTACGTAGTGCCGGGAATGGAACGAACTCAGCCGCATCCAAGCCAGTGCCCTCGCCTTGGTGCTGTCCCTCTGGCTCTCAGGAATCATTCAGAGGACAAAGACATTATAAGGCATGCTAGGAAAAGTGGGGGAAACGAGAGAACAAAGCTTCAAGTCAGAGGAGAACACGGCGCGCTAACGTGTCTGTGCTCATTACAGAGTCCGAGAGGAGCTGGAGCTGGAGCAGCTGCGGCCGCAGGCGCACGAGGCCAAGCCAGGCAAGTGCCGCGGGCTGGGCCGGCTCTGGGGTCGGGAACAATCCTCAGGCTGCCGCAGCGCCCCACGTCTCCTAGAAGGGGTTTTCCGACCCCACACTTCCCCGTTGTGCTCTGAAAACAAAAGACACGTCTCATGCGTCTGCGGCGATTCCCACTGAGTGGGAAGGAGGGGTGGCTATGGGAGGATGGCCCCCTTATGTGGGCTACGACGTAGCACGGACAGGAGCAACGGACCCTCGGGGAGCAGGACGGAGAGTGGTCTTTGAGAGGAGACATCCCTGACGGGGCTTGGGCTGGGCTCTGCTCCTGGAGAGAAGAAGCCGACTCTCTTGGGGATGCCATGTTGGGATGCTGTTGGCTTGAAACGTTGCCACTCCCATGTTTGCATGTCACAGTCCTGAAATAAGAGGACGGCGCTCAACGGCCTCTGTTGAGAGGATTCTGCTTCTGTGCTTTGGGCGACTTGGGCTGCTCTACTTCACGGAGAGCAAACGCCACGTGTGCTCTTGCCCCGGCCCCGAGAGCCTGTTGGCTCTGAGCAGACTGTGGAGTGAATTCAGGATCTTACAGAGATGACCATGTCAGATTTTAGCATCACCTGGGGGCTGCTCCTAAGAACCTGAGTGACCATAAAACAAATAAACAAACAATAAAACAAAAAAAGTCATCAGAAGAAGTGCAAAAGGACCCAGGTGTTTGTCCAGGAGTGCTCACTGCGCTGCCTGATGGAATTGGGGTTTTGGGTGTGTCTTGTAGGTGTCCTGAGGGTGGAGCAGAGCCTCCCGACTCTCCTTCCTTCCTCCCACCCTTCCTTCCTTCCTTCCTTCCTTCCTTCCTTCCTTCCTTCCACTCTTCCTTCCTTCCTTCCTTCCTTCCTTCCTTCCTTCCTTCCTTCCACCCTTCCACCCTTCCACCCTTCCTTCCTTCCTTCCTTCCTTCCTTCCTTCCTTCCTTCAACCCTTCCACCCTTCCACCCTTCCTTCCTTCCTTCCTTCCTTCCTTCCTTCCTTCCTTCCTTCCACCCTTCCACCCTTCCTTCCTTCCTTCCTTCCTTCCTTCCTTCCTTCCTTCCTTCCACTCTTCCTTCCTTCCTTCCTTCCACCCTTCCTTCCTTCCTTCCTTCCTTCCTTCCTTCCTTCCTTCCTTCCTTCCTTCCACCCTTCCACCCTTCCTTCCTTCCTTTCTTCCTTCCTTCCTTCCTTCCTTCCTTCCTCCCTCCCTCCCTCCCTCCCTCCTTCCTTCCTTCCTTCCTTCCTTCCTTCCTTCCTTCAACCCTTCCTTCCTTCCTTCTTTCCTTCCTTCCTTCAACCCTTCCACCCTTCCTTCCTTCCTTCCTTCCTTCCTTCCTTCCTTCCTTCCTTCCTTCCTTCCTCCCTCCCTCCCTCCCTCCCTCCCTCCTTCCTTCCTTCCTTCAATCCTTCCTCCCTCCCTCCCTCCCTCCCTCCTTCCTTCCTTCCTTCAATCCTCCCTCCCTCCCTCCCTCCCTCCCTCTCTCCCTTCCCCCTCCCTCCCTTCCTTCCCCCTCCCTTCCTCCCTTCCTTCCTCCCTCCCTTCCTTCCTCCCTCCCTCCCTCTCTCCCTCCCTCCCTCCCTCCCTCCTTTCCTTCCTTCCTCCCTCCCTCCCTCCCTCCCTCCCTCCTTTCCTCCCTCCCTCCCTCCCTCCTTTCCTTCCTTCCTTCCTCCCTCCCTCCCTCCCTCCTTTCCTTCCTTCCTTCCTCCCTCCCTCCCTCCCTCCTTCCCTCCTTCCTTCCTTCCTCCCTCTCTCCCTCCCTCCCTCCCTCCCTCCCTCCTCCCTCCCTCCCTCCCTCCCTCCCCCCTCCCTCCCTCCCTCCCTCCCTCCCTCCCTCCCTCCCTCCTTCCTTCCTTCCTTCCTTCCTTCCTTCCTTCCTTCCTTCCTCCCTCCATGAGACTGGTCATGTCGACGAATGACATTTCTTAACGATGAGGACCCAAGCCAGAAAGCACAATGCCTTATTTCCTTCCCTGGTGGCAACTGAGCCTGTTGTTGGTGATGGGGTTAGATTCACTCCCAGCACCTACTTACTTCATTTTCCGGCCCCAACTCTAGTCACTGTAGCATTAGAACACAAAGGAGTTACTTTGTGATCCTCACCTCCCCTCTATACCTGACACAGTTCCCATGCCTCTTGTTATATTTCCTGACACTTCTCACTACTCTGCTTCTTCTGGGTCTGATACGCTCTTCTGGTTGGGATGGCCGCCATTCCTTCTGATCCCCTGGGTCCAGTGCTGTGCCTGTTCATCCCCTCTTGGTGCTGTTCAGAGGGACCTTCATCTGATTGTGTTTCTCCTAAGCCCTAGTATTCTCAACAACGTTGGCTGTTTTAAATCATAAGTCAATACATTTGTAGATCTATATGAACAAATCAAGAAGTAATAACCCATTCTCAGAGAAGATACTTTATTTATGTGTTTGGAATCTTGTTATCTTTTATAGCTATTATAGCATTCATGCCTTTGTTCATGACACATGATCCATTAATGGGCAATGAGATACTAACCCGACTGATACTTCGTTTGCCTTTGAAAATCATCTCCAGATTTCTCTAAGACGGATCCAGTGGATGATGAATGCCTCACTCACATTCAGAAGGTTGAAGCAAAGCGATGTGAAATACTTAACAAATGGGATGAAATCAAAGCTATTGAAAATGAAATTAAAACAAATATGATTCATATAGGAGCTTTAAATATTTCAGAGAATAAATATAAAAGCATTGAGGTACGTCATTTATTTATTGGAATCCTTACATGATTATGTCAGCATTGTTCTGTGTACCCTTGGGTTTTGTATTTCTAAGTTAATATTACTGCCCTTTTTTTAATTTCTCTCTCTGATACTCCACCTCTGATTTGCTGACATTAGGTTTTGATTCTTTTTTGTTCTGTTTACTCATTAATTTAAAAATTATGCAAATGTTAGATAGCAGTACTAACTGAAGAATTCATGAAATGCAGTTTTGTGTTAGAACTAGGTAAAAGGTAATTGAGTATTTGCAGTGTTCCACTGGAACACTTAAATGTTTAAGATTTCTAAGGTTTTAAAGTTACATTTAACTTTAAATGTAAAGTTAAATGTAAATGTAAACTTTAAATGTAAAGGTGCTGGAGCGATAGCACAGCGGTAGGGCGTTTGCCTTGCACGCAGCCAACATGACCGACCCGAGTTCGATTCCTCCGCCCCTCTCGGAGAGCCCGGCAAGCTACCGAGAGTATCTCGCCCGCACGGCAGAGCCTGGCAAGCTCCCCGTGACGTATTTGATGTGCCAGACACAGTAACAACAAAGTCTCCAATGGAGACGTTACTGGGCCCGCTCGAGCAAATCGATGATCAACGGGAGGGCCTTTACCTTTACCTTTACCTTAAAGTTACATTTGGTACAGTCCTTAGATATTCAGAAATTTTCAGGAATTCATTTTATTACAGTGGTATTCACTGTGGGCTGGAGCGATAGCACAGTGGGTAAGGTGTTTGCCTTGCACACAGCCAACATGGCCAACTCAGTTTCGATTCCTCCATCCCTCTCAGAGAGCCCAGCCAGCTACCTAGATTATCTTGCCCGCATGGCAAAGCCTGGCAAGCTCCCTGTGACGTATTCAATATGCCAAAAACAGTAACAACAAGTCTTACAATTTGTGGTGAGACGTTACTGGTGCCCGCTCGAGCAAATCAATGAACAACGGGAGGACAGTGCTACTTACATGATTATTTTGCGTGAAGACTGGCAAGCACAAAAAAATCAGTTTTATAAAATACAGTTATTTTCATAAAATAGCATGACATTGGTCCAAATGTATTCCTACTTCAACATATTTGCTGTTAATAATAGAATAATTAAGGGAACTAGCTCACACAACAAAATTGAAGATGATAAATTATGTAATTCTCTTTAAGGGTCAAATTGAACATACATCACGTGAATCGATGTCTCTTAAAATGTAATAGTTTTGTAAAGAAAATGCTTGTCTCAAAAGCAATGGTTGTCTATTGTCACTGAGTATTCAAAAAGTACTGAGGAGTTTAAACTGAAGTTCAAAAATGTTAAGAATATGACAGCATGGGGCTGGAGCAATAATAGCACAGCAGGTAGGGCATTTGCCTTGCAGGCGGCGAACCCGGGTTCGGTTCCCAGCATCCTATATGGTCCCCTGAGCACTGCCAAGGGTGATTCCTGAGTACAGAGCCAGGAGTAGCCCCTGGGCATCACCAGTGTGACCCAAAAAGCAAAAAAAAAAAAAAAAAGAATATGACAGCATATGCAGGTGGGGAGCTGGGAGCCAGCTTATTTTATTCCTTGAGTTTTAAAACTTGAAATATCCATTATGTCACTCTGGTTTTCTTGTCTATTTTCAGCTGGTCATAGAAACATATTGGAAACTATGAATTAAATACTGTCATTGAGAGTCAACAGCATTAAAAGTAGCGCTTGAAAATTATTGCAGACATTATCTTGTTAAACAGCACAGTGTTGCAATGCTAAGATACTCTATAATCCGGTTACCTAACTTTGATTTTTGCAGCATGACTCAATGCAACTGCTAGTTTTAACTGTTAATAGGTTATCAATTTTTATTGAAGCTGCATAGTTACATTTTCCTATAGCTTTCTTTTTTTTGCTTTTGTTTAAACAGAGTCATAATGTCTCAAGAAGACTGTAGTGATTTCAACATTTTTTTGTGTTTTTTTTTCTCTTTAGATATATGTTCAGATTTTCTTCCGTGTGTTCTGTTTAGTTTTCTCTCATAGGTTTGTTTCTTGAGAACAAATACTATTTTTTTTGGTTCTTTTTGGCTACACCTGACTGTGCTCAGGGCTTACTCCTGCCTCTGGCTTTCTACAAGGGGTCACTCCTGGTGGGGTTCAGGGGACCACAAGGGAGGCAGAGATAGAACCTGGGTCTGCCGCATGCAAGGCAGAGCAGCTTCCTTCCTTTACCCCCTCTCCAGCCCCTATAATGGAACTTTTGAGCAGTGAAAGTAATGAGTTCTGGGGTCCGAGAGGTGGCTCAGCAGATATAAGGGCATGCTTCATACCCAGATATTCCGCATCATGCCTGGCCCACGTGGTCTCCCACGAACCATAGGTCCAGAGGGTACCACACAACATAAAGTTGGGAATAGCTCCTTCCTGAGCACTACTGGATATGGCCCCCAAATTTTAAAAAATGAATCATACAGCTTTACATATTATTAACATGAGACAAACACAAGATTAATTTCTTTTCAAATTTCTTTCAAAATTAAAACTGTAGCACTGTAGCACTGTCCTCCGGTTGTTCATTGATTTTTCTCAAGCGGGCACCAGTAACATCTCCATTGTGAGACTTGTAGTTACTGTTTTTGGTATATCGAATATGCCACGGGGAGCTTAAAATATGGGTCTATAACATAATGACATCAATACTACTGCAAATTGTAGTAAAAGGTAAAGGTAAAGGCCCTCCCGTTGCTCATCGATTTGCTCAAGCGGGCCCAGGGCTGGAGCGATAGCACAGCGGTAGGGCGTTCGCCTTCCAAGCGGCCAACATGGCCGACCCGAGTTCGATTCCTCCGCCCCTCTCGGAGAGCCCGGCAAGCTGCCGAGAGTATCTCGCCCGCACGGCAGAGCCTGGCAAGCTCCCCGTGACGTATTCGATATGCCAGACGCAGTAACAACAAAGTCTCCAATGGAGACGTTACTGGGCCCGCTCGAGCAAATTGTAGTACCTCGTTAAAATGTTTTGAAAAATTCACAAATTAAAAGTGGATTGAATCAGGAAAAAGTAGATTCCCTTATAGTGAAATTATATCATTCATTTATATTCTATTTATTGTTTCTGTTTGAATCCTTAACTCGGATAATGGAAATACATTTATTATCCTGCTAAATTTATAGTTCTGGATTGGAAGTTTTCTCTTTCTAATGAGAAAAAACACGTTAAGGACATTGTGGATTTGTAATATGCCAGACACTGCTGCAAACATAAGCATCGCTCTTTCGTTTAATCCTTTAGAGCCATCAGTGACTGTTGATTATTAACCCCCTTTCCTAGTAAGAAAACCAACGCATAGGGGTGCAGATTCGATGGAAGTCCCAGTAGGCAAGAAGGACAATTAGGATTCAAACTCAGCCACATTCTTTTTTAAAAAATTTTTATTAGTGAAACACCAAGAGGTACAGTTGTAGACTTACACATTTTTGTGCTTGGGTTTCAGTTATACAATGCTCGAGTACCCATCCCTCCACCAGTGCCCCTTCTCCACTCCCAATGATCCCAGTATCCCTCCCACCCCCCCATTCCTCCCACCTCACCCTGCCTCTGTGGCAGGACATTCCCTTTTGTTCTTTCTCTCCTCTTGGGTGTTGTGGTTTGCAAGAGAGGCATTGAGTGGCAATCATGTTTGGTCTATAGTCTACTTTCATCATGCTTCTCCCATCCTGGGAGGATCCACCCAACACCCTTTACTTGGTGCTCCCTTCTCTGTCTGAGCTGCCTTTTCCCCAAGCATGTGTGGCTGGCCTCCAAGCCATGGAGTGAACCTCCTGGTACTTATCTTGGCTATTCTTGGGTGTTAGTCTCCTATTTTGTTACTTTATGTTCCCCAGATGAATGCAATCTTTCTATGTCTGTCCCTCTCTTTCTGACTCATATCGCTTAGCATGATACTTTCGATGTAGTACCACTTGTATGTAAATTTCATGACTTCATCTTTTCTAACAGCTGCATAGTACTCCATTGTGTAGATGTACCAAAGTTTCTTTAACCAGTCATCTGTTCTCGGGCACTCAGGTTTTTTCCAGATTCTGACTCAGCTTCCCTCTTAATTCTGGTCTCTCCAGCCTCACTGCTCACATGACTCTCCCTTTGCGATGTGCTGGGGATTAGAAGAGCAAGTCTGTTTTGTCTTCCTATCCCTCTACCCAGGAGAATTTTGTTCACAATTATCTTTGACATTCTTACTCAGTACTAGCTACTATTTTGAATTTTAGTCATATGAATCTTTCTATTTTGATTATGCTAACCAACTCAAGGACTTATTTGGGAAGAAGTAATAGTTTACAATTCACAATATCAACCCTTCTGATCAGGATTATTTTAAAATTATTTTTTAAATGCATCGGTCTTATGTATTCTTATAACTTTATATGACCGTGTACTTTGGTAAACAGAAACACTTTTTTGTTTTCACTGTTTTTTTTTTTTTGCTTTTTGGGTCACACCCGGCGATGCTCAGGGGTTACTCCTGGTTCTGCTCTCAGGAATTACTCCTGGCAGTGCTCAGGGGACCATATGGGATGCTGGGAATTGAACCCAGGTTGGCTGCATGCAAGACAAACACCCTACCCGCTGTACTATCACTCCAGTGTCTTTTGTTTTCACTTTTGAGTTACTTATAAGTCATTGCTAATTTGTGTGTAATTTCCTGATTTTAAATTTTATATTGTGTTCAGTCATCTTATTTAACTTCTGTTACTATTTTTATGAGCAAACTTTTTATGAGTGAATGTCCCTAAAATCCCCTATTTTTTCACAGGATCAAACTAGCCTTTCCCCTAGCACACAGAACCTTAAACCTTGCTGTTTTAGTCAGGTTTTTGCGCTAGACCTGATTTTATTTTATTTCTTTATTAACTTTTGCCATGTCTGGAGGCTCTCAGGGGCTAATCCCAGCTCTGTGCCTGGAGGTTGCTCCTGGTGGTACTCAGGGGACCATGTGGTGCTGGAGATTCAACCAGAGTCGGCTGCATATAAAGCAAGTGACTTACCATCTGCCCTATCACTCTGGCCTTACATCTGTACTTAAATGGTGTGCTATAGGGACTTTCAAAATTAAAATTAATGAAATTCATATAATGCTTTTTTTTTGCCTTTTGGGTCACACCCGGCGATGCTCAGGGGTTACTCCTGGCTCTGCACTCAGGAATTACTCCTGGCGGTGCTCAGGGGACCATATGGGATGCTGGGAATCGAACCTGTGTCCGCTGCATGCAAGGCTAATGCCCTACCCTCTGTGCAATAGCTCCAGCCCCCATATAGTGCTTTTTGTTCCATGAATCTTTCTATTTTGATTATGCTAACCAACTCAAGGACTTATTTGGGAAGAAGTAATAGTTTACAATTCACAATATCAACCCTTCTGATCAGGATTATTTTAAAATTATTTTTTAAATGCATCGGTCTTATGTATTCTTATAACTTTATATGACTGTGTACTTTGGTAAACAGAAACACTTTTTGTTTTCACTGTTTTTTTTTTTTTTTTGCTTTTTGGGTCACACCCGGCGATGCTCAGGGGTTACTCCTGGTTCTGCTCTCAGGAATTACTCCTGGCGGTGCTCAGGGGACCATATGGGATGCTGGGAATTGAACCCAGGTTGGCTGCATGCAAGACAAACACCCTACCCGCTGTACTATCACTCCAGTGTCTTTTGTTTTCACTTTTGTTTTTTAGGGAAAATATTTAACAGCTATTCTTTTTTCAAAAATAATTTTTTAAAGTGTAGATGAAGGCCACAATTATTGATAGAATTGAAATTGATTAGATAACAGATATTGAAATAGGTAAGTTTTTTAAAAATTGGTTTTTAATCTGAAATTTGTTGTATCTCACCACGAGGTTCTAAAGTCCTTGGCTAAGTATTTACAAAGTTGTTTGTTGCTAGTTGATCCTTCTGTGTCAAGGTTTTGTTTGTGGGTTAGGTTGGCCTCTGTTTTACTTTCTCATCTAATCCGATGTCCTGGTCCTGGGGTTTCAGTATTGGGAACTTGGAGGTGTTGCAGGGCTGCGTGTCCAGAGGCTTCAGGACCTGTGGTCTGGCCAGTGGATTAACACGGCCATGGGTGTGGGGGGTCGCGTGCTGCTGGGGCTTCAGGAAGTGGGGGGTCGGGGGAGGCTGGATGTCCTCGACTCTGAGAAACACCAGGTTCTCAGCCTGCACACCAGGGCACCTGAAAAGTTTCGCAGTTTGGTGTCTCTGCAGAGGGTTTTAGCAGAGTGGAGGAGCTGAGTCTTGGCGTGGCTTCAGCACGGGGTCACAGGGCGGCTGGCTGGGCTTTGGCAGGGCAGGGAACAGCTTAACCAAATATATTTCTTTTAAAACCATTTCTCCTTTAGGCCGAAACTCAAAAGTTGGAGATAGAAATTAGGATCTTAAAGAAGAATATAACTGTAAGTTTTGTGAATCAGTTTTTCAATTAAAGTGTTTGAGCTAGAACTTGTCTGTCATCAGCTGAGTGAGAATCTATGCATCTTCTTTCTAAATAGTAACTTCCTGCAATCCTAGAATGTTTACATTAACAGATAGTAAAACTGTATTGATATAGTTTTAGCTAATAAACTAATGTATTAATGAGAGAACAAAGCAAGTATTATTAAGGATTGAACTGTACCAGTCAAATCAATGTACCAATCACTTCTCTAAATGCTTATGCACAGGATTTATTATAATAATCTTATTAAGTGACAAGAAATATATGAATAGGTTCCCTAACTTTCAGAGCGTCCTTCCAAAACTTAGGCTTATAATTTGTTTTTTAGTAGGTTAAAGCTCTGTTTCTTTTTTGCATATATCTATTATATTTAGGATGAATTAGCATGCCATGCTTGGTCTAGAAGAGGAGTCCATTCAATTCAGTGTCTCTGTCTTTATACATAATCAGTCTTACATTATTAAATGACAAAAATGTTTAATTCTTGCTTTAAATGTTTAATTTTTGCTAGATCATCGAGAAGCAACTAAAGCATAGAATAGAGAGAACAAAAATGAATGAGAAGAAGCAGCGGTGAGTATTGATGTGACACAGAAAGAACTGCACCCTTCTTGTAGTTCCTGGGGAGTGTGGCATTCGTCTAGTTTATATTTTATTTATTTTTCTGTAGTCTCTAATCCAGGAAGTCCCAGTAGATGATGATGTAAAGAAATATGGCTGGGGGCTGGTGGCCTTTCTTGAAAGGATCCTTTTTGACTAAGATGTAGGAGCATTGCACGAGGATGGGCTGAAACTGCTGTGTTCTCCTCTGAGCAAACTCCTGCTCTGACCCTTTTTCCTAGCTATTACTGAGGAAAGTCTCACTAACTGGACATTAATTTTCTATCTATCTATCTATCTATCTATCTATCTATCTATCTATCTATCTATCTTCATCATCATCATCATCTGTGACAGCTTATCCTATACAAGAATGCTTAGCCCAAGATGTAAACCCCAATATGTGCACATTAAGCAACCCGTCACTGTCACCGTCACTGTCCTCCTGTTGTTCATCGATTTGCTTGAGCAGGTCCAGTAACATTACACAGCATGGGTATAAATGGATTCTTTATATTTGGAAAAATAACTCCTGAAGAACAGAGCGTAAACTTCCACGGGATGCCATGGGAAAGCCACTGGTGACTGGCATGATTCTTCTCTATCATTTAACTTTTTGTGACATTAAAGTTTTGAAATAAAACTACCCAGCCGTCGCCACACTCCAGGACGCTTTCCGGACCCGCGCGGCAGCTCCGGCCGAGACCCACGCACAACTGAAGACCCACAGAACAAGATAAGCGGAACTCTCTGAGACCTTGGACTCCAGGCTCGGCGGACCCAGGGACAGAGCTTCTCTGCTTGCTCCCACCACCACAGGCGACAAAGGGATTCTAATCAGGAGCCCCACCCTACCCTGCCCTGTCTGCTTCCATCAACCACCCAGGGATCGAATTGTGCACAGGAGACCCACCCTACCCAGATAAATACCCCACTGGCAGACTTCCACTCTCGACACTACTTCCACTACCCAGCCGTCGCCACACTCCAGGACGCTTTCTGGACCCGCGCGGCCGCAAGCGGCCGCGCGACACATCATAAGACACTAAATACCCGTCTTCTGGAATTGTACCATATTTGATAGGGTTCAAATATGGTAACACCTAGAAGGGTGATTAGAGGTCACCCCAAAAGCCTCTATACCTCTCGGAAAGACTGGCAAGCTACCGAGAGTATTCCGCCCACATGGAAGAGCCTGGCAAGCTATCCGCTGTGTATTCGATATGCCAAAACCAGTAACTACAACTGGTCTCATTCACCTGACCCTGAAGGCTTCACCGACATGGCAGCACTGAGAAGGATGAGAAAGGAGAGGCCGACAAAATCTCAAGGCCGACCTAGGCTGCCACAACGAAGGAAGACAAAAATGATCGTCTGTACTTTCAATGCACGTACGCTAGCATCAGATGCATCCATCGAGGACCTGATGGTACAAGCGCGAATGATCAAGTACGACATCATTGGTCTGACCGAGACAAGAAGACACGAATCTCACCATGCCGTTTTCGACACTGGAGAAGAATTGTTCCTCGGAACATGCAATAAAAGAGGTGTTGGAGGCGTCGGTGTCCTTGTCAACACAAACTTGGCCAAGAGCATCGATTCATTCGAATGCCGAACAACCCGAATCGGACGTTTACATTTGAATAGATGTGGCTCACTGCCTGCAGTTTCTATCTTCGTTGTCTATGCACCAACATCTCATTATGATGAAAGAGAAATCGAGAAGTTCTACATGGAGCTAGAGAAGTTCTATAAAGAAGACCACACCTTCTACAAGATCATTGTGGGTGATTTTAATGCCAAGATAGGACCGAGAAGATCAGCTGAAGAACTTCACATCGGAACCCATGGCCTAGAATGGAACGAACAGGGTGAGAGACTGTCTGAGTTCATCATGTCGACCAAGACCATTCATGGTAACTCACAGTTCCAGAAGGCAGAATCTAAACGATGGACATGGGAGTCTCCCGGTGGACGATTCCACAACGAAATAGACCACATCATATTCAATCGACGGTTTTGCCTGACTGATGTTGCTGTTGTCCCAAAATTTCGAACGGGATCGGACCACCGTCTCCTTCGTGCAAAATTCTACTTCACAGAGTGGGGAGAAAGGGCTGCAAAGTTCAAAAAGAGAACTCCCAGAACGACCACCAACTGGGAACTCTTTGGTACTATTGCGGCAACATGGGAAGATTCCATTGTTGACAACATTGACGAGGAATACGATCGACTGGTTCAGCACCTCCATGAATGTGCGAGGAACGCCAAGAGAGAGATAGCCACAAAAAGTCGCCTATCTTCGAAAACTCTTGAGCTAATTCGCCAGCGTGGTTTGGCGCATGCCTCAGGCAACCGCAAGCTAACATCCGAGCTCGCAAATCAGTGCAGAGATGCGATCAAGGAAGACCTCAAAGAGAGAAGAGCAGAAGTACTGGTAGATGCGGCAGAAGCCGGGAAAAGTATTCGTAACGCCCGCCTGTCCTTCGCCAACTATAAGACCAAGATGACTGCCCTCCGACGTCCTGATGGATCCATCACATCCTCCAGAACGGCAATGGAGAAGATTATCCATGACTTCTACTCAAATCTCTTCGATAGCCATGTCCACTTGCCGACATACCAAATTCCACAGGATGGGTATGTCGTTCCCAACATTCTCCCTTCCGAAATCCGACACGCCATTTCGTCAGTAAAGAAGCAAACAGCACCCGGCCCAGACAAGGTCAGACCTGAACACCTGAAGAACCTGCCGTCAGTACTCATCAATACACTGGCTCGGCTCTTCACTCGCTACCTGTCTGAATGCAAGGTTCCATCTCAATGGAAAACCAGCAGGACCGTACTACTGTTCAAGAAGGGAGACATCCATGACATTGGCAACTATCGCCCGATCTGCCTATTGTCTGTCATCTACAAGTTGTTCACTCGAGTCATCCTGAATAGGATTGGCAGAACACTAGATGAAGGACAACCATGCGAGCAAGCAGGGTTCCGCAAAGGATTCAGCACCATCGACCATATCCACACGATAACCAAGCTCATTGAGGTTTCTCGGGAGTTCAAGATGCCGCTCTGCTTAACGTTCATTGATTTAAAGAAGGCCTTTGATTCTGTTGAGACGGAAGCGGTCATTGAAGCCCTAGCCAATCAGGGCATTCAAGCCCAATACATCAGGATCCTCCGTGAGCTGTATTGCGGATTCACTACCAGGATCTCACCATTCTACAAAGAAGTGATCGTTGATGTCAAGAGAGGGGTGCGGCAGGGTGATACCATTTCACCAAAACTCTTCAGTGCCACCCTCGAGAACATCATGCAACGACTGGAATGGGAAGGAATGGGAGTGAAGATAGATGGTCGGCAACTACACCACCTCCGCTTTGCTGATGACATTGTTTTAATAACACCAAACATCAGCCAAGCGGCACAAATGCTGGCCGACTTTGACCGTGAGTGTGGAAAGGTAGGACTACAGCTGAATCTTACGAAGACAATGTTTATGAGAAACAGCCTTGTTCCTGACGCCCCATTCGCTCTCAATGGAACGACCATCTCCGAATGCAACAGCTATGTGTACCTAGGTCGAGAGGTCAACATGACAAATGACCTGGCACCCGAGCTGCGCAGGAGGAAGAGAGCGGCTTGGAACGCCTTCAAGAACGTCGAAGAAATAGCTAAGAGGACGAAGAACCTCCGGCTCCGGGCACATCTCTTTGATTCCACTGTTCTTCCTGCATTAACATATGCCTCAGAGACCTGGGCCCTACGCAAACAAGATGAGAACGCCATTCAGGTCTCCCAAAGAAGAATAGAAAGAGCTATGCTTGGAATATCACGTTTCACTCAAATGAGAGAACGAATCCGGAGTTCTGACATCCGTCGACGATCAAGGATCAGGGACGCTGTCTCATTTGCCAAGGTGTCGAAAATCAGATGGGCTGGTCACGTAATGAGATTTAAAGACGACCGTTGGACTAGAGCTGTTACTGATTGGATTCCACGGGATGTCAAGAGACCGCGTGGCCGCCCACCTACCAGATGGTCAGACTTCTTTGTCAAGATCATGAACGATCGGTTTGAGGCCCTCCATGTTCCCGGAGCGAAGAGATGGCATTGGGCTACACTAGCACGCGACAGGGACAAATGGAGACGTTACTGGCGCCCGCTCGAGCAAATCGACGACTAACGGGAAGTTAAGTGACTTAAGTGAAAGTTTTGAAAACCCCTTTATGTGTTACACTAAAATTTTAATCCTGAAAGGAAATGGTTCTGTACAGGATCTGTCCCACACATCTAGATTTGATGTGGCAAATGTTCTTCTCGCTGGGACTGCCCCTCACATGTCAGGACGTGCCAAAGCTGAGATTCTGTGTAGGTTCATGCTCAGGAGAACTTGCTGGGCCCCGGGGGAAAGACCCTGAGTTAGTTCCCGGGAGTCTGGCTCCCATGAGGTCATGAAGGACGTGGCTCTCACCTGTGACCTCCCCATTTCCAAGACTCTCCCGCTTTTCCTCCTCCGGGCTTTGTGAGGGCGTCTGCTGGCATTAAGGTCGTGTCCCACGGGTAAAGAAGGCGAGCGTTGGGTCTGTCTTCCATGGAGAAACGACAACCCATGTTCCTTGGAGGGGAGGGCGAATGTTTAGTAACAACGGGTTTCTCATCAGGAGACTTTCCCATTTGGTTTGGGAAGAAATCCTTTCCCTGTTATTTCTGCCCAAACCTCAGTGGCTCCAAGACCACCTGATTTCCCGAGACCACCGTGGGCTGCCAGGACGAGCAGACACAGCCTCTCCATACCCCACTTTCTTGGGAAGATCGTGGGATAAGAGGTGTTGTTGAGTGGGCACTGAGGGCCAGCCCAGGTTTGGGGGGCGCCTCCCATGGCGTTTATTTGGAGAAGGAGATGGCAGAGTATCGACGGGAAGTTGGGGCAGCTCCCAGGACGGCGCTGGTAGGAGGGTGGACAGGCTCAGTGTCCAGGAGGAAACTCTCCCCACTCCCTGCACAGTTGGTGCTGCCCACAGACACGCAACCTTTGCTCCTCTAAAGCCAGATTCTACTAAAGCACACCGGGAAAGGAAGGTGGAAAAGCAGGGTCTGTGCCTCCCTGGGTTACGGCTAAGTGTGTCATAAAACATGTGTATTTTGAAACATTTCTCTCATGTTTATTGCATCTGTTCTCTCATCAATCATATTTTTAGGAGACTTTGGATGTTTATTAATGATTTTGTGAGCCTGGACAGTAATTGCAATGATACTGACTTGACTGGAAAAACGACCAGTGAAACAAATCTCGCATCACTCTCGTAGCATGGATACGTGGCGTGTTTAACCTTTAATGAAGCTGCATTTTGCTTTGGCAGTTTTTATTGTGAATGCAATTGATGTAGTATATGTATATATCCTTCTAAAGATGTTGAAGTAAGTATATGTCCGTGTGTGATCAGTTTCACTTTTGTAAATAGCACCGTCCTCCCGTTGTTCATCGATTTGCTCGAGCAGGCCCAGTAACGTCTCCATTGTGAGACTTGTTGTTACTGTGTTTGGCGTATTGAATACGTCATGGGTAGCTTGCCAGGCTTTGCCGTGCGGGCAGAATACTCTAGGTAGCTTGCCGGGCTCTCCAAGAGGGGCAAAAGAATTGAATCCAGATCGGCTGAGTCAGCTGTGTGTAAGAGAAATGCCCTACCCACTGTGCTATCACTCCAGCCCACTTTTGTAAATATCTTCATGAAAACAGTCTTTCTGAAATTATTTTCTGTTTTTATTTACTAACATTCTCCGGGGAAATTATTTCTAATTGTTAAAAAGCATTAAAAACACCCCAGTATTTCTGCAATACAGTTTAAATTTGTTACTTGCTGATACAAGTTTGCATGTATGTACATATATATTCATATCCACATATAATTACAATCATCTAACATGCCCCTTTAACTACATTATCTTTACTTATTATAAGCAATAATAATGCATCACAATCTTCTGGGTCTCCAGACAACCTCATATTTATACATGTCCTGTCATGTATCACCACAATGTGACTACAGTGCAGTCTGAACATGGCTTAACTGCAAGTTTGGTTCCTTTAAACATTTAGACAATAATGCGCAGAGATGTTTCTGTGAAGGTCAACATGAGTGGTAGAATAGAAATATGAAATTTTGCCTAAGTGGTTAAGTACAGATTTGAAGGCTTCTGTCCTAACGTGGAAAGGAATCAGAGGAGAGAGGGAGGCGGGGGAGGCGGGGGAGGGAGGGTGCGTGGGGCAGGGAGGAGTGGAGAGGGGAGCAGAGTGGCAGGGCTGCAGGGGCCTCTGCTCGCTCGGGGCCAGATGTCACTGCATGCTGAATGCTGCCTAATCCGAGTGGATCCAGAGGCCGGGGTGGAGATGGTAGAGCAGACAAGCTGGAGGATGAGGAACCGCCTTCCTCCGTGCTGCCAACCTCGGTCCTTCTTCCTAGTGTGTGTCTGCTCAGCGCCCGAGGGGTGCAGACGGATGCTCAGGACCCTCCCGATGTTCCTGGAGTCTGACCCTAGTGCCTAGTTGCAGAGATTCCTCTCCGGGTGGTCCAGAGGTCCGGCCTCAGTTGTTCCGCACGGACAGCTGCCTTTTCCCCTGTTCAAGAGTCTCGTCCTCTGCTCATGAATGCAAATGTTCATGTGTCCAGACAGACCCTTGTCCCATCTAGAGCTCTGCGGACTCTGGCCCGAGAATCCCTCTGGCTTGACAGGCTGGCTTCTCAGTGGCCACCCACCAGGACGTGTCCGTGAGGTGTGAGTGTAAGTGTGAGAGAGCATGCGCTGCTGACTCTCAGTGGGAAGTGTTGACCCTTAGCATCAATGGTGTCACACAATCCCCTCCTCCCGGGGAGAAGGACAAGCCCTCAGCAGTCAAGCTCATTCGACAGTCTCAGGTCAATGTCACAGACCCGTAGACTCTGACGTCACAGCCGAAGTTGCCGGGGAGCAAGGGAGGGGTGGGAAGGACTCTTTCCTGCCACGTTTGCTCTTTGGCTTCCTCATCCTAATGCTCGACTTGGAGCCGGGACCCAGGGCAGCAATCCACAGCCAAGGAACATTGATTTTGGTTTGGGATGAGCACTTTCGACCAGTGGATTATCTTTCCAGGAATCACGCATCTGTTCACTGCCTCTAAAATGCACAGCATCGGAGCTACTTTATTTCTGTAACTAAAAGAATAAGAACACGGAAATTATGTTTTGTGTTGAATGAGAAAGAGCCTTTGGGGCCTGAGCCAGAGTGAAGTGGTGAGATGCTGGATTGCACACTGTAAACTCAGGTCAGGTCCCCGCATGGCGTCCTGAGCATGGCAGGAGTGACCCCTGGCGTAAAGCCAGAGCAAACCCTGCACAGAGCCGGTGTACCCAACCCCCGTCCCAAAGAAAGAGACGGAGCTCTGACTCCCCCCAAGAACTGTGCCTGCTAGGGTGGATGGATGGGGCTGTCCATCCATCCATGATGGCCAGCATATGGCGTTCAGTGGGCAGAGTACAGGGATGGGACTGTCCATGGCAGGCGACCAGCTTATGGCGGTCAGCGGGGACAGTGCAGGGATGGGCCATGCATGGCAAGTGGCCAGCCTATGATGGTCAGTGGGGAGAGTGGAGGGATGGGCTGTGCATGGTGGGCGGCCAGCCTATGGTGGTCACTAGGGGTAGAGCCCACGCCCCTCAGCTTGGCTGGCCACCGTAACCCACTCTAATACCTCTGGACCCTGTAGTTGCACAGGAAAGCGTGTTCCTGCCAGGCTGTGGCCTGTGGCCTCTGGAGAGGGAGGAGTTGTCTCCTGCCTGCCCCCACCCATGTCCCTGGACATCAGCTAGAGAGGGTGCTGTTTAGCCCCAAAGCAGAGCAAAGGGACAGGATACAGTTCTGGGGGCCACAGAGAGCATGAGATGGCATGGTGAGCCGTGGGTGGGTTGGGCTGGACCGCAGGACAGGAAAGGCGCAGTGGAACTATCCGGGCTTAGTTTAGAAGGAGCAGGCCCAGTGGGGGCTTGGGTGGTGGGTGACATTGCTGGGACTCACCTTGGCACCACCCTCGGGCCCATCTGGGCGGGTCCGAGCGTCAACTCATGTTTGGGAGCCCCAAGTGGGTGCGAGCCCCCGTCACTGCCATGACAGCCCAGAGGGAGGGACCCCAGGTCATCTTAGCCCAGCTTCCTGCTGTGTGTGTCTGTGTGTGAGTGTGTGTGCTAATGTGTAAGGAGGCTTGTGTGTGTTCTGTGTGTATAGCGTGCACATCATGAGAATGTGTGTGTGAGAACGTGTGTCTGAGTGTGCGAGTGAGTGTGTGTAAGAGTGTGAAATTTTAAGTGTGTTCAAGAGTGTGTGTGATGAGTGAGTGTGCCGTGTGTGTGGAATTTTAGTGAGCATGCATCTGAGAGTGTGTGCATGTGTGTATGAGTGTGTGAGTATGTGTCAGGGTGTGTAAATTCGTGAGCATGTGTGTGAGTATGCTCACATGTGTGTGTGAGGGTGTGTCCACACCTGGACAGCAAGCAGTGCAGCAGGGAACCCTCCCCGTGCCTTGGCTAGAGGCTGAGGAAAGCCCAGGGGGTCCGGGAGGCCCAGGGACAGCCCCAGAGAGGCCTGGTGGCAGGTTACAGACAGGGACACGGGCGCTGGGGTTCCAGCTGTGACTCCAGCCAGGACCATGTGCATGGACGTGGGCACAAGACCAGGCCGTTGTGGACAGGTGAGAGATGGTGGAGCAGCATTATACGTCAGGGCCTGACCTTTCCGCTTGCGCTGGGCCTTCCGGTCTTGAGCATCTGGGTCCCATCAGTATCTACTTCCAGCATAAAAACCAATTGTTCAAAAATCTCCAGGAGGGCAGGAGCAGTCAGTTCCCTAGAAGTATATTCTAAGCATTTTTATGCGTAGCCTGTATTTTAAGACTATCCTTTATTGCTTTAGGCCAGCGTTGTCCGCAGCAAGGTCGAGAGGCCAGTCCAAAGAGAGCCCACACGCCGCTTGCCCCATGCTCAGCCCTTGGAATCAAAGGGTTTCACTGCCTGAGACCTGCGTGTGGCCGAGCCTCATTCTGACTCTGTTAGCTCGGGCTTCTCTGCCCCCGCTGCCCTGGTCCTTAACCAACCCCAGCAGGGCGTGGCCTTCCCTGTACTGTCTCTGACTGATGAGCATTGAGCGGGTCTTTCATTCACCCAGTGATTGGCTGCTTCTGTGGCTGGCGGTCATGAATTGAGCTTCGGCGAATGTTCACCAGCCTGGTTTTATATGGACATTAGGATTCCATTCAGGTGGGTCAGTAGCAGGTGCCAGTGGTGGATAGTTGGGCAAGACTGTGCTTAATCCCATGAGATGCCAATAGACCCCCCCCCCCCCCCGCAGCCCTCCCACCAGCACAGCACGAGCTCCGGTGATGGCACTGTGTGTCCGTGTCCTGCACTGCAGGTGCAGCCTCTTGTCCTGATGCATCCTCGATTCCATTCGCTTACCCCAGGGACGCATAGTGTGGGCTGTTGCCTAAGCACGCTGGCCCTCTGGATTCCTCCTCCTCTTCCCCCTGCTCGTCCTCCTCCTCCTCCTCCTCCTCCTCCTCCTCCTCCTCCTCCTCCTCCTCATAGCCTCCTCCTCTCCCTCCTCCTCCTCTTCCTTCTCCTCTTCATTCTTTCTTCCCGCTCCTCCTTCCTCCTTCCTCCTCTTCCTCCAACCTTCCCTTTCTCCTGCTTCTTCTTTCCTTCCTTCCTTTCCCATTTTTTCCTGTTAGTTTTGGGGTCCCATTCAACTGTTTAGGATTTTCTCCTGGTTCCAAGCTCAGGTTCACTCCTGGTGGTTCTTAGGTGACTGACCGTATGTTTGCCTGGGACCTTCCCAGGGTCAGAAGAAGGTTAGGTGAGCACCCTTCCCTTCTGTGACCTGCAGTTCATGTATGTCCTTATCGGAGAGGCGTCTCCCCGGATCTCCTCCCTACTGCAGTGACGTTGCTGGATTTTCTCATGGCTGAGTTCCAAACACTCATTATATGTAGGAGACAAGCCCTTCATCAGATACATGTTCGCAAACATTTTCTCCCAATTCTGGAAGGTCTCCTCATGCTCTTTGTAGTTATGCTCTTTTAATATCAAAATAACATGATTTTTTAGCTAGTTTTGTACTTCTTCACTTTGGAGATGAGAAAGTTTAGCTTTTATGGGACAAGAAGTGTAAGATTTCAAAATGTAAACATCATTGAATAGAGAAAAAAATATTTTAATGTTATGAAAATAATACTTAATCCTCTTAGAAATTTTGGGAAATGCACAACAGTATACAAACTGTGA